TATGCTGCTTTTCCCACCTGTAGTCTTATTAGCTCTTGTTCATATTCCCGTTGCTTATCTTCCATCCTTCTTGTGTCCTCTTCCACCGCTTTAATCTTCTTCTGTCTTCTCATTGTTTTCCTTCAGCTCTGCTATGTCCTTTGAATTTTCAGCCACCTGTTTTTGAATGGCTTTCATACTATTTGTAAATTGCTCAGTTATTTGTCTTAAAGTTTGATCCATCTGAGCTTTGATTGGATCCACTGCTTCGACAACCATGCTTTGCATTTCTTTTTGCACAAGTACTGTTAATTTACTGTCACCCCCCCCCCGTCCCTGGTGAAGATTGTGTAGTCTTAGCAGTGTGAACAGTTTTAACAGATGACATTTTGCTGATTGTTCTCTGAGCTTTATACAAATTCAAACCAGTTTTGCTATTGTCTCTTTTGTTTATGTTTTATTCCATCTGGCTGACTTCCCAGACTCTATTATCTCAGTGTTATGGTTTAAGCCCAGTTCTGGTTCACTGCCCAGTGCTGGAAAGTCGCCAGTATCCCTTGGCCACACGCCTAGACTTTTGTTATTGTTTGCTCAAGGTCACCGTTTTTCCCCAGCTGTTCCATACACATCCTCGCTCCGTTGGGGGGGGTCAGTTTTAAAACCATCCATACTCAATTATAGTCAATTATGGACATAGCAAGCACTTTTAGTCTTTATTAAATTTCCAGGTCGTCTCTACCATTTCACCCCACTAATTATAATGGGCCTCCTGCCCCCCTCCTGATGGAGGGAAAAATTGAGATCGCAGAAAGTGTGGGGAGTTGCTAGCTCTTTATACATCCACAAATCTTATATCAGTTTATCTCCCAAAACTCCATCACTTCTCTTTAAAATCTCTCTTTAAATTTCAGTTGCGCTTCTCTTAGCAGTTTGGTGGTATTTTTCCCCAGCCTCCCCTCTACTCTGCCAAAACACAGCTCAAATTGGAAATTTCTCCCTTCGGTTCTGGCCAGTTAAGTAGAATTAGGGAGATTTCCCAGTCTGTTGGGGATTTCAAATATGACAGTCTTTACTTTGAGAACACAGAGCAGTTTCTTTCACTCACGTTTCTGTGCTCAATTTAAAATCCAATTGTCAGCCTCTTGGTTCATGGCAGCAACAGCTCTGCCCACTACAGTGAGCTTCTTCCTCCGGCTTGCTTCAGAGCGAGCTAATTAGGTCTCCCAGTGAGTTGCCGTCTCACTGGGACCTCAGCTCAAGCCCCCTGCCCCCCACTATGCCTTCCCTGGAGTGTGGGGTGGTCTCTGATTGTTCAGAGACTCTTTAGGTCTGAAGATACGATCAGTCACTCGGAGCTCAGCTCTCAAGCGATTGCAGGCGCTGTGCCCTCCCGTCTGTCTCTAGATATTATAGCTTTCCAGTAACTCTTGAGATGTCTAAGCTCTTCCCTTTTTATCACAAACCAGGGTTCTCTTCCAAACCCCTTCCTACTGGCTAGAAATTCTTCTTCTTGTCCGTAAGAAGCAATAACTCCTTTTCCTATTTGGCTTGCCTGGGAGTTCTCTCTAACTCCTCAAACCTTCTGCCAAATTCCTCTTCCAGTACTATATGTCTGTATAAAGCAGTGTTGTAGCTTTCATGACTGAGAATCTGAATTCTCCCTCAGGGTAGTTTTAATATATCTTAGACACTGGAGTCCCTCTTCTTCTCTCTATAGATGTACTTTTCTGATAATTTCCTACAGAAATCACTGAATCCCAAAGTCTCTTCCCTCAGAAGCCAAACCCCTTGGCTACTGATCCAGACATTAGATTTCAGACAAAGACCAAAAGTGACTCAAAAGGTGAATGAAACTTTTCCCTCCAGATCAGCTGTTTTATTTCCTCTCTAAGCTGATTCTGGCCAATCAGAGAGCAAGTAGAGCAGCCAATCACATAAGCTCTTCTCTCCAGGGAAGATTCTCCCTGACTCTCTGACACAAGCAGCATTTTTAAAAGCCTGCTTTTCTTTGCAGTCCATCACAGCCATCTAAAGGGACCTGATCTCTTGACTAGAGGGAAACAAAAGCAGTTGGACAGGGCATTAATAACGTCATTGCCTCATCAACTGTGGCCCATAAAAACTGGCATACATGAACAAGTGCAAGAGACTATGATTTTAGCCTAATTGAGCACACACAGCCAGTAGCAGTGCTGGACATGCACTAATGAGTTGAATAAGGGCCACAACAATATTAGTCTTATTTATTTATTATTTATATATCTAATAGTGAAGGTGCCCCCTGGCGTGCGGATACCTAAATCCGCGCATCAGGGCACCTGGGGGGGGAGGGAGATTTTCGTGCACACTTGGGGCAGTCCCCAGGTGTGCACAAAAATCTGAAAAGTTAAAAAAAATATCGGGGGCATACTTAAATCCCCCCCAAAAGTGACAGAGCGTCCCCTGCGCATGCACAGGGAACGCTCTGCAGCCAGCCTCGCCGCCGCCGCCTCGGAGCTGGGGGGGCCCAGCAAGGCCCGGGCGGCTGCAAGTCGCCGGGC